AGTCCTAGGCTTCCAGAGGCTCTAGGACATGTGTAGGTAGGCTCCAGCAGGTGCATTATTTTATATCAAAAGTGCAAACACCAAAAAGGAAGTCAAAGGAGCCTTATTCTTCACTATCTCAGCTACCGATAGGTTTCCTGATATCCCATAAATGTTTGCTTTACGTCAAGAGGACAATAGAAACCAGGTGTGGTGGCACATGGCTGGAATCCCAGCTTCTCAGGAAGCAAGGCAGGAGAATTCCACGTTCAAGGCCAAGATCCTGTCTGAAATAAAATTCAAAAAGGACTGGCGATGTTGATGAGTGGTAGAGCATTTGCCTATCATGTGTAAGGCCCTGGGTTCAATCCCCAGTTATATACACATACAAATGCACACGTGTGTGCACACACGCACACACACAGAAAAAAGAAAGACATAAGAAATGTGTGTGAGGTGGCAATTCCAAGCAGCCAGTAGCAAAAACAAAACAAAAATTTAGACTTTTCATTTGCAAGAACCACAGTTAAGCAGGACTCAAGTTCAAAGGCCACTTAGGGTCAGCATCTTGGTGCAGAGTTGCTGTCACTGAGCTAAAAAGACAAGACTCTGGACAAGAGTCTTTGGTGGCCCAGATGTGAGATGTGCACACACCATGTGCCAACCCTGGGATTGGCCCAGTACCATCTCTGTTATCTAACTGCTCAAAAATGCCCCTGGGTGAAGGAGGTGGAGGGTCCACAGTGGGTGGACTGAGAGGCTGCCAAGTCATCCCAGAAAGCCACCCAAGTCCCTTTTTCCCAGACAGGATGTTGAGACCTGGCAAAGAAAGGAATGAGAATGGCCCATAGTAGAGAAACAGATTTGGCAGGTTCTATCCTCCTTCTGCCTAGCCCAGCCGAAATCCCTCTGTACAAACCACAAAGATCCGGCAGGATCAACCACAAGACAGAATCAGACAGATGTGGCCTGCCTTGACCCTTGAGTAGCTTCAGACACTCAAGTCACTGAACTGCTTAACATTCTTCAGCCACAGCCTGGGAATCAGACCTACCTTGCTTGATGATCACACAGTTAACCTAGGAGTCCAGAGAAGAGGGCCTGCCCCCACACATATGGCTTTCTCTGATGTGCAACCCTCCCTAGTCTCCCAGACTTCCCTCTCTTGGTCATGTTGGGAC